TCCAAAAAAAAAAAAAAACAGCTTAAGAACGTCTTCCAAACAAGGCCAATTTGGAATATTCCAGTCGGCTAGCTACTCTGATATTTGAATTTCCAGTTGAAATATTCGTAAATGGGAGTTCAAAAGTAAATTAATATTCAAATCCCTTCATTAAATATAAGATGAATAAAATAAAATATATTCACAAGATGTAAGAATAATATTATTATACTATTAAATATTAATCAACGAGACCGTTTATTAATTATGGGACTATCTTTAAATTCAATGATTTGACATTTGAATTACTCCAATAACTAGCTAGCGCTTATTTTGACTTTTCTGCTTCTAATAATTAGAGTTTTGTAGATGCTAAGGTGGTGTTTGCAAATGATTATTTAAAAGCAGAAGTTAGTGATTGTGATTTAAGTTAGTTTTAAGTGCTTATTTCTAAAAGTTGGGGGTGTTTGCAAATATTTAGGAAAATGAACTAAAATTGAAAAAGCAGGGTTAGGGGTGCTTTTAAAAAAATAACTTAAAGCAGATTATTTTAAGAGAAGCAAAAGCAAAAGTTGATTTTACAAACACCTAAAAACAGATTATGAGCAAAAAAAACCGCATAATTACTTTCAAAAAGCATTGGCAAACACCACCTAAATCCGATGTAACGTATCTGATGATTTTGCTTAGTGAATACTTATTAGTGTAACATTTATCATTTAATAATTTATAATATAAAGTTAACACTTAGAGTTGAACTAATAGAGTTTAAGTATGCCAATTTACATTAATTAATCTTGTATGAAAAACGTAAAGTGACAGATAATATGAAAGAAAAATAATTTTCTAAATTGACAGTTATCGTGAAACAGATGGAGTACTATCCAATTAAATGAAAAAAAAAATATTCGTATTAATTATTAGCAGATACTAATAATTAATAGCTATTTCTTAGGGAATAATATTATTAGTAAAGATAGTACGATTTTTTTTGTTAAATGATCAAAATAAACATAGAAGTATGTACTACAATCAAATCCCTAATTAAAGAATATATCATAAGAGTGAGAAAAAAATAAAAATTAAATAAAATAAAATAAAGCCAAAATAACTAAATAAGTACACAACCACCCACTTGACAAAATATAGACTGAATCCAACAATACCCAAAAATACTAATCAACGCGTTTGAGCAGCCAAACACTACTGACCAAAAAACCCTCATGCATGCACTATAAATTCAGACACAAAACCCAACCTTATTCTTCACTTGCAAACAAATACATCTTTCAATTGTTCAATTCTTCTTCCTCTCTTAATTCACAATGAATTATTTCGCCACAATTTTCGCCACATCAGCACTAGCACTCATGCTCGTGCTCTCGCACGTGCCGGCATCAGAAGCGCAACTGTCTCCTCCGACGTTCTACGACGCAACATGCCCTAACGCGCTCGCCACAATCCGAACATCAATCCGACAAGCAGTGTCGCGTGAGAGGCGAATGGCCGGCTCACTTATCCGCCTCCACTTCCACGACTGCTTCGTCCAGGGTTGCGACGCTTCGATCCTATTGGACGAGACCGCCACCATCCGATCCGAGAAAACCGCATTTCCGAACGTCAATTCCGTCAGAGGCTACGAAGTCATCGAGGCCGCCAAAACCCTAGTCGAGCGCTTATGCCCTGGTGTCGTCTCTTGCGCCGATATACTAACCCTAGCTGCCCGTGATGCCTCCGTCGCTGTAAGTATATATATGTACATATATATATTATATATAACATATAACAAGTTCGTTACTGCATTCAGCACGTATTACCTCCATATTTAATTTAATTTAATTTGATAACGAAAATTATAGGTTGGTGGTCCGACATGGAACGTGAGGTTGGGGAGAAGGGATTCGACCACGGCGAACCGTGACCAGGCAAACAGGGATCTTCCGGGGCCTGATTCTACTCTCCAAAGACTTATCGATTCTTTCGGTATCAAAAATAATCTCACCCCTAGAGACATGGTTGCTTTATCAGGTAATTGATTTCCCATGATCAATTAACAATTCTCTATACTGTATATATATAATCCGAAAAAATGTGAAATTTATTTTTTAAACTAATATTATATGAATTAATTTCGCTATGCAGGAGCACACACACTAGGTCTAGCCCAATGCTCCTCGTTCCGCACGAGAATTTACAGCAACGGAACGAACATCGACCCAGGATTCGCTACCACTAGAAGACGCACTTGCCCGCAAACCGGAGGTGACGGAAATTTGGCGCCCCTAGATTTGGTGACGCCTAATTCATTCGACAACAACTACTTTAGGAACTTGGTGCAGAGGAGGGGGCTTCTTCAGTCAGATCAAGTGCTTCTAAGCGGAGGATCAACCGACAGTATAGTGACGGAATACAGTACTACTCCGAGAACTTTCGCGGCAGATTTCGCCACCGCAATGATTAAGATGAGTGAGATTGAGCCGGTTACCGGACAAAGTGGGATCATACGAAGGATTTGTACCGCCATCAACTAGTTCTATATACCATAATTTTCGACTATTTTTACGCTTTTTTTTTTGCATTAATATATAATTGTATATCAAATTCCACAAATGTTTATGCATTCTAGTAGATCAATGTTTTTGTATGAAATAATGGATTAGGTTTGTCCAAGTTTGCAACAGTATCAATACGATGTTCTATTTTTCTTATTTTTTGATGATGGCAGATCTAATTTAATGATTCTTACTATTCCACCTGTCGTGACAAGATATGGATAAATTAGCATGATCATGAACATGATTAATTGGGTCATGTTATACATTAATTTTTGGTCCAACTACACAATTGGATTTAGACATGACCATGGGCCTTTTCGGACGGGTTCACTCCGGTTCACTTTTCCAGGAATAGTAACCGGGACCGGCCCGTACAACATATGGTTCACCGGCCTTGGCTGGCCTGCCCGGTTCACTTCGGTTCCGGGCCGGTAAATTTATATATATATATATATATATATATATATATATATATATATATATATATATATATATATATATATATTTTTTTGAAAATTCTTGATGGATAGTTAAATTAAAAGAATTATTTTTAAATAGAAAAAAAAACAAAAGGAAATAAATGAAAGGACTTGAGCTTAATTTTATAGGAAAAAATGGGGTGTGAGGGTATTTATATTTATAGGAAAAAATGGGTGGGGAATTCGAAAAAAAAAAACGGCCGGTTCGCTAGTCGTTACAGCTTTTTCAACTTTTTTTTATTATATATTTTTTTTAAATTCGGGTGAACCGCTGGGCCGGCCCGGCGGTTCACGGTTCACATAATTCTAGAACCAGGCCCGTCCCGAGGGACACATGCCGGTTCACCTGTCAATGGGCCGGTCCGGTTCGTCAACGGACCGGTTACGAGCCTAAAACCGGCCCATGGCCATGTCTAATTGGATCTTCATAAAAAAAAGGGCAAATGGCAAAAAGGCCCATGGGACTTAAATGCATTTTGGTCCACAAAAAAAACAGTCTCTCAATTAAGCCCATCCCCATGTCTTTAGTCTAAAATACCCTCAATAATATAATTCTTATCAATTCCACCCATTATACTCTAACTTCCTTAATATTACACATTGACCCCGAATTTAAACAAATATATCACATTAACCCCCAAAACTTTTTTTTTTCAGAAAATAAATTTTTTTCTGAAATGTTTTTTTTTCCGGCCAGATTCCGGCGTTGATTTTTTTTTTTTTTGAATTGTTTTTCTTAGAAAAAAAATATTTTAATTAATATTACTGTCTTGGCTACTAAATTACCGTCTCAGACAGTAATATTACTGTTTGGGACAGTAATATTATGAATATTATTTTTCCGAACAGTAATATTATTAATATTATTGTCTAAGACAGTTAAATTATTGTTGGAGACAGTAATTTAACATCAAATGCAGTAATATTAATTAAAATAATTTTTTTTAAGGAAAAAAAAAAAAGTCAATTAACAGTTAAATTACTGTCTCCGACAGTAAGAGGTCCAGGCGAGACAGTAATTTAGCAACGGATATTTTTAACCCAAGTTTTAAAATTTTACTCTGTTTTTCCCCGAACAATTAACAGGTTAAATTACTGTCTCCGACAGTTAAATAACTGCTAGAGACAGTAATTTAGCAACGAATACAGTAATATTAATTAAAATATTTTTGAAGAAAAAAAAAACAAAAGAGTCAGTTAACAGTTAAATTACTGTCTCCGACAGTTAAATAACTGCCGGAGACAGTAATTTAGCAGCCAAGACAGTAATATTAATTAAAATATTTTTTTTAAGAAAAAACAAAATTATAAAAAAAAAAAGTCAACGCCGGAGACCCGGCGGTCAACGGCAGTTGACCAGCCGGAAAAAAATTCAAAAAAATAAATAAATAAATAAAAAGGTCAACGGCGGTCAACGGCGGCGACCGGCGGTCTCCGGTGGTGGCGGGTCAAAATTGAAATTAGGATTAAAATTGGTTAATTGATGAAATTGGGCTAAATTGGGGTGTAAATCATGAAATTGGAGTTAAATTGAGTTTCAATGAATTGGGGGTAATTTTGGTATATATAAAAGGATTTTCCTTACTTGCAAATAAGTTTGAATGGGTTGGATTTATTTGAAACACAAAAAAGTTGGATGTCCCTCTTTTAATTAAGTGCCCTTGTCATGGACCTATTTGCCATTACCCCAAAAACAAAATGCATAATTCTATGTTGACTAATTGTGTCTTATAAACCATATATACGAGACTTGATATATTAACTCTTTAAACGAAAACGCACGGTTACGGAAGGGAGAGACTTCATCGCTAGGGATATGGGATTCAAAAACGAAGCGGGGCCCGCCAAACTCCAAGCAGGCTGTAGCTCTTCGGTCTTTATTGGACAACTCGATTTTTCCACCAATGCCACTTCGATGTTCGAGAGAGATATAAAAGAGTAACACATTGTTTTCAAATTCAAACAACTTTTTGTACGTTTTCATTTTTGAATATTTGTTTTATGTGAGTAGATTGAAATACCGGGTTTGATCGATGGTGGATTGAGACTTGAGAGTGTTCCTTGTTGACTTTTTATGTGTTGGTGAGTCAACTCAGTTGTGAGTGAGATTAGATCTAGGGTTTCTGAGTTTTGGTGAATGCTTTGTGCTTGAAACTTGTCGGTGCTGTCATTTGTGCGCGTTAGGGACGGATGCATAAAAACATCGAGGTACCGGAAAAATTGATAATTCTGAATAATCAAATATGTTACATTATATTCTTGTTTATGAGATATTATTTGATATAGAATAAAAATAGTGCATGCTAGAGAAACTTGATACAAAATATATATCAGCTCTACAAATGCATGTATTCATTGATATATATCAACTTTTTGTACATTATAATTGTATTATTTTGTTTTCTTCGAAAAAATCATTCCTAGAAAAAGTGAAAAAAAAAATGGAAATAAAATCCAAAACGCTTCCAAACATGGTGGTTGAAATTATCAGTTGGGCTACTCTGATATTTTAGTATAATAAATTTCCATTGAAATATTCGTAAATGGAGTTCAAAAGTACGTAAATTAATATTAAAATCTTGCCAATTAATTAGAAAATGAAAAAAATAATATCTTCAAAAGACCTAAGAATGATTCTGCGGGGACGGCTTATGGTAGCCACTTCAATGCATACTATTAATCAACACGACTATTTATTATGGGGATTATCTTTAAATTCAATGATATTGACATTTGAATTACTTCAATAACTTAGCATGTATATATATATATATATATATATATATATATATATATATATATATATATATATATATATATATATATATATATATATATATATATATATATATATATATATATATATATATATATATATATATATATCTATATATCTATATATATATATATATATATATATATATATATATATATA